CATGTCACAGAATATAACGGTCGACACGGATAACGCAGCCCATCAGATACAACGCGGAATATCGAGCGTTTCATTAGACAAAGAAGACGGCCTTATATCGTAAAATGCTTCTTGTCAGATACCAATGCCAGGTGATACGCGATCGGTGTTCCTGTTCATTACCAGACCGTTGGAGGATCATGACATTAGCAATCGGAGTGGGCAACGAGGTCCAGAGAGCTTGCGCCTCCCGAATACACAATACAGGGGAGTTTGCTGTTTTTCTTACAGCACGGCCAACGGTAGTTGTTTCGAGGCGTGCGCATTCGAATGCCGTTCCATTAAAGAATTTCGCATCCATCACAGCTTTATCGGATAAAAAAGCTCAGAAATACGCCGCACTTGGGGCTCTTAATTGGCAGATTTTATTACTCAAGCTAAACCCGAATGAAACCGAGCTCAAACCGAGGTCGTGTTCGTCCGTCATGATATCACCCGGAAAAATATTACCCGCGCGTATTGTGAAGCCGGTTCCGTCTCGATTGGGCATATCCCCGGGCTCTTAGAACGATCGTACCTCAAAAGAAGAAGCTTTCACCCGCACACAAGGGATTACGGCGCCAGAAACGGAAGTCTTGCGCACACTGGAGAAACAGCTTCTCGGGTCAGAGTGAAAAATCGCCCGCCAGTGTTTATCCGGTGTTGAATGCGCGACTGTTGCCACCGTCGTCCGCTGCGCAATATCCCGAACGTCTCTCTTAGAAGATGAAGAGGATCCTTCGGTTAACAATAACGCACATCTAACACCGTACAAGGATATCTGGCGTTCCGCGCTACGGTTCACAACGCACAGACAGGGGAGTCCCGTTTGTCCACGTCTATCAGACAGTTTATTTGACTCCACGTGGAAAACAAGAATCAGAGGGCTCAGCAGAGGAAAGGACGGTTGAAACACCTGGGTCCAGAGGCGTCGACTAGGTCAGGGTGAGACAACACACAACTCTAACGCCTGATTCCACACGTGTTCCTCCTCATCATTTCTCCTACGGGCTGTATGGACAAAAACGGGCAAACGGTGCACCTGGCAGCCACCGCAAGACAGAGCACATTGTCCGTCTCCTTCTGGAAACTCTGCTGGCGACGCGGGCCACGGTCACTGTTCAGTTGATCCTCCGCTTTCCCGACCGCATCTCTCGGTTACGACGACTGACAACTTCGGCATCTCAGGACGTCATCTCCTCCCCGTGGCCCTCGTCCCCTATAAATAACGTCCGGTCTCATTACCACCGTTGCAGCGACTGAAGACTCACTCTCGCTGTCTCTCTCCCTCTCTCCTTCTCACTGAGTGATCTAATCGGCTCTGATGACCCCTTGCGTTGGGCTAGAAAAACGAGTCTAACCATGTAGGGGGAATCTCGGAACCACGTACATCTAGTGTACCCTCCCTTATCTCTGCCTCTCTCCCACTCTATCTCGAGTGTGAGGGTCACTTGATCAACGCTTACTTTTAGGAGAGGTCCCTCCGGACCTCATCTCACCCTTAAGCCATTGATTAGGACTGGTTTCAGGTACGAAAACCAGTCCAGCCCCCTTTTTAATACGGATATTAAAGGACGGCTCGGGGAGAGAGAGAAATTAAGGGCACGGTAATCCCTTCCTCTCCGGGGGCTGGAAACAGGATTCCGGCTTCTCCTCCTCCGCTCCCATCCGGTGCCCGGTATCAATGCTTCATTAACTCCATATACTTCTATACCTTGTTCCTCTCTTGACATTGGATATTATTTCTTCTCCTTTTGTTTACTGGTCATGAGGTGTTCTTATCCTCTTTAGACCACAGCACGTTAGACTGCTCTCTGCATTTTATTACCTCGTGGACATTCTGTCCTCATGCTCCCTTACTTCCGGCGCTGTATCAGGCAATTCCCTAGCCCATTCAGCCCTAAATCTGGTCACATTGCCCAACATCGAGTTTGCACATCTATTCAGTGGTGCAAAGATGAGGACGTCCGTCCCCATCAGTGGTATCATAGCTGCTGCTTTGTGAACACGTATTTTGTGGTGAGCTAGGTTCGAGTGAAAATGTGGGAGGCGCGGGTGGAAACAAACATTTTTTCGAGAGCTGGCAGCGCGAAGCATGCCGGCATGGGCAGCGGCCTTAAACAGGCATGCGGCGTCGTACAAGCAGTGTGGTACGGTGCGGTATGGTCATGCGTGTGCATCACATGCCTGGATACATGTGGCATGCATCCCGGTGTGCAGCTAGGGCAGAGCGAGAGGATGCTTGAAGTCGGGAGATCAGTCTCCTTTGAAGATCAGCCTCTAAGTGGGAGATTCTGGGAAATATAGAGAATGATCTGATGGGATCTCCGGGGAACACGCGGATCCAACCCCATAGTGAGCTGGCGGTTGGGCGACCAGGTGGGCAGCACCCTCGGACCAAACTTAGTATTAGGGGCACGAGTGCCTTCTGTCCCTATGGTTTTGCCTTATCTCGTGATTTAAGAGGGGGAGGAAGCTGCCGCCTAACGGTAGTGTGCTGGGTTCCCCTCCCCTATCTCTTGACTCTCTTCCCGTCTATTTTGAGTGTGCACATCTGGTCAACTGTGCAAGGACGAAGACACTCGACTGCATTACCGTAGGTCACCAGAACTTCTTACCGTTCGAGATTAGGTTTCAAATAATGGTTTATGTGGTGATGAATCGAACCGTTTGTAATTTAATTCTTCATGATAATGTAAGGACTAGACGTGAGAGTCATAGAGACACATCCAAGGGCGGGGATTTGGTCTAAGTGAGGGTTAGTGTGGAGATCAAGTGAAATATTTGTCAGTGAATTCTTCACGTAAACCTGAGGAGTGAGTGCGAGTCATAGAGGGGGGGGGGGGGGGGATTCATGGGTTGGGTTTGTCGACACCCGTGAAACTCATACATGTGTCAATTTCTCATTTTCTAGGGCTGCTCTTGTCGTTGAATAGGGTATTTAAACTTTAATCCTGATGAAGATTGAGAGCAGGAGAAAAAACTATAGTCATGAACACATTGTCATAGGCCTGTCGTGAAGAGGGTATAGTTGTGGTATATAGAACTTGGAGGTCTGAATGATGAGAACTGTTTCTTGTTGCTTTTCTCCTACGTTGGGTGTACTATCCGTGTTCTTTATTCAGCATTGCTTGCCGTTCCGCGATGAGTAGGTTATTAAGGGTATCTTGTGTGGAAATATAGTTTTGTGTTATACGCCCCCTATTTTCTAACACGAGTACTACCTCACAGCAGCCCCTCCTAGCCTTTCCTATCAACTTTCCTCCGATCAATCAAACTACACCAGACAGTAAGTATCCTTGGCATCAATATGAGGTGCTATTAGAGACTACGGTCAGTCTCTATTTCTTTCCTTGTAACCCGTTACTATGGATGTAAGTAGCAGCAGTTTGGTTATGCGACCTCATTTGAGACTCTCGCAAAGATTGAAGTCATCGTGAGGTCAATCTACATCCCAAGCCGGAAATCACGAGTGAGGTAAAGCTCAAAGTTAGAAGAATGTGGAGGGAATAGAAAAGATTAGCAGATTGGAACGTCCAGTAGACATGTTGACGTAGGGAGTCATCGCAGAGCAATTCAGGCGTTACATGGCTTCGGTTGATCTCCAGAATTATGTTACTGGAGACGTCGCACAAGGTAAAGAAAAGCTTTATTTTTTCTTGAAAATCGGCCACCAAATGTTAGATTTTTGGAGTTGTAAAAAATGAGCTAATTGACTCTAATGGGGCTCTTTGATAAGAACGCAAATATTGGATTAAGGGCGACCTTGTCCTTTGTGCCTAATGGACTATAATTCAGACGTTGTCTCTTTCTCATGAAGGAAGAAAAACCTTGTACGACCGTGGACGAAAGGGGATTGTCTAGTGCCCTTCTATCTGTCTCGTGTGTGTATGCATTAGTCAGACACACATCCGCTGTGCCAGAAGAAGCGGAACCCTTGTTGTGTGCCAGATAACCTAGTCAGAGTTAGACTTGGACAGCCTGGACCTCAGGGAGACTCTGAAAACTTAGCGATTTGTATCTAGCAGGTCCAGAAGCCCACGCCACAAAATATTTAGTCTTCTCGTAAACATCTGCTCCAGTCGAAAACCAGGGCCAATTGCAAGCCCAGTCCGCCGTCGTTCCCTGCGGATCAGGTCGACAAAAGAAAAGTTAATTCCGCCGCGACACGGGAGAGCCTCCGCACATTCGGGAAAATAGGGAAGCTGGGGCCGCTCGTCCTTCCCCTGCGTGTCCGAGTACTGCTGCGGCAGCTGATGCGCCAGTTATTTATACCCTTCGCTCGGCCGGCGGCGGTTCCCGCCCCAGAGGTCGCCACGTGCCCTCTGAGCGAAGGGTATAAAAAGCGTTTTCAATATTTTACGTTTGACGGAAGCCGGGAGATAGAGAGACGAGCTGACAGATAAACGAGAGAAAGAAAGTCGACGGAGCAATCGGAGGGGGGAGTCACGCAGCACCTCAAAGGAAACGACGGTTCGAGGACCGGGTATTAAGGGAATTGACATTCTTCAGGTGGGTTCGTCATACGGCGATCACACGAACAGAGGCGCCGAATTCTGGACGCGGAGACGCATGCATGATGCACGGGGCCGAGGAGAGAAGAAGGGAGACGGGCCGCGGCGGCAACGGCGAGGCGACACTTCCGTCTGTCCGCTACCAGGGATATGCCAGAAAACCGGAAGAGTTGACGTGGAAGCTGCCTTCCTCGGACGCCCTAGCTCCGCCTATCTCTTCGTCCCTCTATAGTACCGGCACCGAGCTATCAACCATATCCCGTAACCACCACTGCAAATAGCTAGCCCTCGTTCTGAAGATCAACCTCGGCGTCTCCCCCCCTCTCCCAATCCCCCTCCCGTACTGGTCCACGTCCACACACGCACGCCTCTCTTGAGCGTAGACAGCGCAGATGGGAGCGCCGAAAGGCTCTCCTCGTCCTCGCCCTCGTCCTTCTCCTTCGTCCGGGCGGTTCTCAGGAGGAACAGATGTTCTCCTGCGACCCCTCCTTCCGTACCGGTCTGGACATCACCGACTCCTCCACTGCGAGGAAACTGTCCCCGGGGACGGCCAACGAACGGAGGCGGTCTACTCTCGGCAGCGCACGCACGGTGGTGAACGTGAAGGATTTCGGTGCCCGAGGCGACGGATCATCGGACGACACCAAGGTAGTAGGCCATTCAACAATCTCTTGCGTCGCAGATGGGAACTTCCTTCTAAGCGTTCTCGGACCCGCCCGTCGATTATCTCGTCTTCAGGCGTTCGCCGCTGCCTGGAAGGCGGCTTGCTCTTCCTCAGCTCTCGTCACTGTGTTGGTCCCCGAGGGGAAGGCATACCGGCTCAAGCCCATCACCTTCTCCGGTCCCTGCAAGTCTCCAATCACCGTAGCGGTGAGACACGACAACCCACTCCCCAGCTCCCCTCGCACCAAAATCTTATTGCGTCGCGCCTCCTTAGACTCCCTCTGTCTTCCAACTGTCATCCACAGATCAAGGGAACGATTCTCGCCTCCGGAAGGATATCCGACTGGGACGGAGCGGACCGCAGGCTCTGGATGCTGTTCGACAAGGTCGACGGCCTCAGAGTGGAGGGCGGCGGAACCATCGACGGCAACGGGCAGGTGTGGTGGAAGGTCTCCTGCAAAGTCGACCCCGCACAGGTAGCAACCCCTCTTACTTTCTCCGCTTGCGCACTCCATGGCACTGCCAGCGGAAACTCTCTGTCCTTGGGCTTAGTTTCTCGGCCAGTAGCTCACTGACTCGTTTTCTGATGTTTCTTTGACGTGACGTTATAGCCGCGCGAGGTTGCACCCACGGTACGTTCTGCTCCTAGCACACGACTAGACTATTTCAGTTCGTGTGGATTCCATTGTTTCTGCGAGCTGACTTCTGGGATGACCCCTTGCAGCCGTTGACATTCCGATCCTGCCGTGGCTTGACCGTAACCGATCTGAAATCCTAGAACAGCCAGCAGATGCACGTCACCTTCCCGAAGTGCGCCAACGTCCGGATCTCCCGACTGACTATCTCCGCCCCCGGGAACAGTCCCAACACGGACGGAATCCACGTCTCCGGCAGCACCGACGTTAAGATCAGCGACTCCGTCATCAGGACAGGTCCACCCTCCGCCTCCGCTTCCTTGGCCTCCCCCATCCGCGAAGCCGGAAGAATGCGGACCTTGGCTTCGCTCTGAATTCCTCCTTGTAGGCGATGACTGCATCTCCATCGTCAGCGGCTCACGCTCCGTTACGGCCACCAACATCGTCAGATGCACGTCTCTCCTGCTTTCGCGCTCTCTCTCTCTTTCTCGCCCTCTTCCTTTCTCTCACTCTCGCTTTCTCGCTGAGTTCCTCTCGCCAATCTTCCGTTCGCCCTTTGCCGCGCAGAAATCCGCCGTCGCCGTGAGCGGAGTGACGTTCAAGAACGTCAAGGGAACAAGCGCAACCGCGGTGGTCGTGGCCTTCGACTGCAGCCGCACGGTCCTCTGCCGAGGGACAACGCTGCAGGAGGTCCAACTCATCACGGCGAGCGGAGCATCCGCCGCAACGTCAACCTGGCCAAATACGGCACCGTCGTCCCGTCGACGTGCTCCTCCTGACGGCGCCTGCTTCCGCCCCGGAGGAGAGAAGCAACAATGATCGGAAGAACGTCCTCTGAGATATGCCGCGGTTGGGACTCTTATTCGGCAGATTTTACTACTGCTCCAAAGTCCGAATAAAATCTAGCTTAAACGCAGGTCTTATTCGTGCATCAGAAGGTCACCAGGAAGGAAACTACGCGTAATATAAAACCGGAGTCTGCTCACAGTCCGAATAGCTTTGATAAGTTGCCTCTATCTGGGCCGGCCATATCCTCGGCCACTTAGAACAATCATAACTCAAGAGAAGAAGTGTTCAACCGCACACAAAGAATTGCGGCGGGAGAAACAGAAGAGTCCCGCGCACACGGGAACCAGCTTCTCTGGTCGGAATGAAAAACCGCCCGAGGCGTTTGCCGCGGTGTTGAAAGCACGAGTGTTCCAGCCCTCGTCCATTCCGCAACATCCCCAACGCCTCTCGAAGAGCGAGGAGAAGAAGACGAAGAAGAGGATCTGTATGCTGACAATAACTCACGTCCAGCACCACACTAAGAGATAAATTGGCATTCCGGGAGACGGTTCGCAAAGCAAGGACAGAAGAGTCCCGTTCCTCGACGCGTATCAGGCAGTTTATTTGACACCACGTGGAAAACAAGAATCAGAGGGCTCAACTGAGGCAAGGACGGTTAAAACACCCGGGTCCAGAGGCGTTGACCATGTCGGGTGTTTTACACGACACGCGTTCCGTCGGAACCCGCGGCCTCTTATTAGTGTCCTGAGTTGCCCTCGGTTGTCTCTTGCCCCTCTTCCCTCTATCTTGAGTGTGAACATTTCTTCCACTGTGCAACGATGAGGACCTACATCCCCGTCACCATTGATCATTGAAATTCCTTCCCTGTTCAATATGAGGCTTAAAATGAGGTTTAATGTGGAGAATAGTGGAAATATTTGTAATTTAATTCTATAAGTTGATCTGAGTTGATGTGAGCATCACATATAGACATCCGTGGGCTGAGTTTGTCAACAATCCAAAAATTCATGCATGCGCCAATTTCTCATTTTTTTAGGGGTACTATTGTCTTTGAATAAATAAAATAAACTTTAATTGCAATTAAGATTGGGAGGTGGAAAAAACATGCGACCATCAACATATTGTGGGGGGCATGTCCTGAAGAAGGTATAGCTTGGGTGTACACAAATTTGTAGGTTTGAATCTTTAGTGGTATTTCTAATCGCTTTTCTCTTATATTGGGTGTACAGTCTACATTGATTATTCTGCATTGCCTGCCATTTGGTGGTGGGATATGTAGGGTAACAGGCAGATAAGAAAAGACTAGAATGTTGGAAGGGAATGGCCCAATACCTCATCTAGCCAAAATAAAACACATATTAGACAAAATCATAAACTAGTTTTCTTACTTTCAATTTATTTTACGCTTTCATTCACCTTAAATTTATTTATATGTATCTTAAATATATTTTCAAGTCCCATCCTAACAAAACCACATTTTTACAGCTACTCTAACAGTCTTTTGATCTATTTAAAGACCCCATCTCGTACCCCTATAACCATTATTTAATGTTACAAAAAAAATTCCTTCTCTGAGATTCCATTTCATTGCTTTTTGGTTCAGGCGCCTCCCTTGTAGGTTTAGGGGAACCTTCTTGATCTTAGTACACTGAAGATCACTCTTTCGTGGATTCAAGGGTTGAAGCTTCTAAGTTTTGTGAAATTAGGATAAGAGATATTTACACAGACTTTATCTTTCATGAATTCAATATTGAGACTTCATCACCACACAACTAAAGATGTATCAATTGTATCAGAATAAGGTTTTCTGCTCCTTATTCATCTTTGACGATGTCATGAGGTAAAGGATAACAGATTAATGAAGATAAAGGTCTTGAGGTTAGCCTCTTCTCTCACACAAAACATATTCAATTTCAATAACATATTGGTTAAAAGTTTCAAAGTATAAATGATACTTTGAAGCAAATATTTTCTTACATGACTGCCCTAGAATTTCATTTACAAACCTTAAATATTCAAAAAGAAAATAACTTCAAACATCCTTATAGAAAGATGTATCAATGACGCATGTAGTTCATATCAGAAGTTGAATGTTTTTCAAAAATATAAAAATTAGTGATGAAGGATAATTAGTTTTTTATATATATAAATTAGAGGGCAGAGCATCTATCTACTGGGATCAATTTCAATCTACTTGTTCTAGATTAGGTAAGGATTGAGTTCGCTATATAAGCCGGAAAGATCTCTACTTCACATATCTCTTACATACGACTAACTGACAGATGTCTTCCCCACAGCTGCTCTTCAGCCATTGGCTATTAGATATTTGCTCCTAGCATGAGTTCATTTTTTTTAATAAGTATAATTTTTGATATGATTTTCAATATATACAAAAATCATGTGGAACTCAAGTTTGGCCTCCACGTCAAATATTTGTAGTGAGAAAATGGCGGTAAGCATAATACCAAATAATTTAAGAAATTTTGTTTAGAATATTGGATTGGACAGAGAAGAAAGTAGAGAACACTCATCAGCAGATGGCATTGGTGAAAGCATGAATTGGAGAACACTCATCAGCACAAGAGATTGCAAGCACGGCTCTAAAAATTATTTCGGTTAGATGGTATTAACACAACCAATTTGGTAATTAAGGAATGTTTCTGCCCCTAGACTCTTAACTATTAGAGGGGTGCCGAATTGGGAAGGAAGAAGGTGAATCTTTCTTACTTAAGGTCATTTGAATGCCTCTCTTATGTTCATGTAATTTTTAAAAAAACAGACAAACTGCATCCAACACCATGAAGTGTTTTCTCATAAGATATGGATCCCTTAAGTTTTTTTATCAGTTCGGGAGTGATCAAAACTGAAAAATTATGAGAGTCCAGAATGTGATATTCATTGAAGGAGTCTTGGACAAACACAAGGTTGTGACCAAGAACAAGAATAAGAGGCTTACAAGGACAAGGCTGAATTCGAGTTTACAAGGTTTTGTAGGTGCACATTTGGGTGGCGATGTAGACACAGGGAGAAGTGCCGCCGACTAAATTTATATTTGAGCGGGACTGCAGTGGGCTTCATCTCACAAATACAAAAATTTTTTCTTTGTCCACAACATAAGCAGAGTATGTGACAAAAATTCAGGGTAACAAGAAGATGGTGAGGCTGAAGGATTTCTTTGTTGAGCTGGGTTGCAAAACGCGAATATAACCTGCTGTTTTCCGATAGCCAAGGTGACACTTATTCGGGAAGCAACCTCTTGTTTCATTATAGAGTCGAGCACTTTCCATTAAGGTATCACTTCATTCGAAGCCTGTTCTCGAAATATTTGTCTTCTCGAAATATAGTCCAGCAGCCCATGCCCCTTAATATTTAGTCTTCTCGAAAGCATTTGCTCCAGCCGACAATCAGGGCCAGTTGTAAGCCTATCTAGCCGGGCGCGTCGATCGTCAGCCCAAGCCCGGAGAACTCGCCATCGCCGACGGAGATAATTCCGCCGCGACGGTGGAGATGCGTCCGCACACACGGCAAAATATGCAATCTTCGGATGGTCGTCCCTCCCGCGCGTCCCCAAATTCCGCAGCTGCTACAGCCGCTAATTGACACTACGCCGCCACTGGAGCCTGCATACTCCAACCAGGCCGGGAGTGCGTAGATCCGCCCGCAGCGTTCTCCTCCCTACCGCGGGGGTCGCCACGTGCCGGCGGAGCGAAGGGCATTAAAAACGTTCTAAATCTTTCACATTTGACGGAAGCCGCGAGACAGAGAGATGAGCTGACGGATATCCGAGAGAAAGAAAGTTGACCGAGCACAGCGGGGGAGAGTCCCGTTCAGTTAGATATGCTGACCAGACGGACGGTTGTAGCACCCGGTATTAATCGCCCGGTAATCTTCAGGTGGGTTCGTCGCACGGCGCTTCACACGAACGAAGGCTCCGAATTCGGGACGCGAAGACGCATGCACGGGGGCAAAAAGAGAGAAAGAGGGACGGGGCGCCGGCGCCGGCGGCGAGGCGACCCTTCCGTCTGTCCCACTACCATCTCTCCGTCCATATCCACGGACATGCCGGAAAACCGTAAAAGTTGGCATGGAAGTTTCTTTCTCGGACGCCCAAGCTCCGTCTCTCTCTTCGTCGGTCTATATAACCCGCGCGGAGCTATTTGCCATCTACCACAGCAAAATCCAATATTCAGCCCTCCTTCTGAAAGCCAACTTCTCTCTCTCTCTCGACGTTTCCTTATCCCTCTCTCGAACTAGTTCACCTCCACACACGCACACCTCCCTTGAGCGTAGGCGGCGCAGATGGACGCGCAAAAGCTTCTCCTCCTCCTCGCCCTCGTGCTTCTCCTTCGTCCGGGCGACTCTCAGCAGGAACACACGTTCTCCGGCGGCCCCTCATTCCGTACCGGTGTGGACATCACCGATTCCTCCACTGCGAGGAAACTGTCCCCGGGGACGGCCAACGAACGGAGGCGGTCTACTCTCGGCAGCGCACGCACAGTGGTGAACGTGAAGGATTTCGGTGCCCGAGGCGACGGATCATCGGACGACACCAAGGTAGTAGACCGGTCAGCAATCTCTTTCGGCTAAGATGAGAATCTCCTTCTAAACCCCCGCGGACCCCCCCGTCGATTATCTCGTCTGCAGGCATTCGCCGCTGCCTGGAAGGCGGCTTGCTCTTCCTCAGCTCCCGTCACTGTGCTGGTCCCCGAGGGGAAGGCATACCGGCTCAAGCCCATCACCTTCTCCGGTCCCTGCAAGTCTCCAATCACCGTAGCGGTGAGACACGACAATCCGCTCCCCAGCTTCCCTCGCACCAAAATCTTATTGCGTCGCGCTTCCTTAGACTCCCTGTCTTTCAACTGTCGCCCACAGATCAAGGGAACGATTCTCGCCTCCGGAAGGATGTCCGACTGGGACGGAGCGGACCGCAGGCTCTGGATGCTGTTCGACAAGGTCGACGGCCTCAGAGTGGAGGGCGGCGGAACCATCGACGGCAACGGGCAGGTGTGGTGGAAGGTCTCCTGCAAGGTCGACTCCGCACAGGTAGCAACCCCTCTTGCTTTCTCCGCTTGCGCACTCCATGGCACTGCCAGCGGAAACTCCTTCCGTCTTCGGCTTTGCTCCTCTCGACCCACTGACTGACTCGCCTTCTGATCTTTCCTCGGTGCGACGTTAAAAAGCCGTGCAAGGGTGCACCCACGGTACGTTCTGGACCAGACTCAACTCGTTCAGTTTGTGGATTCCGATGTTTCCGCGAGCTGACTTCTCTGGTTGACTCCTTGCAGGCGCTGACGTTCCAATCCTGCCGCGGCTTGACCGTAACCGATCTCAAGTTCAAGAACAGCCAGCAGATGCACGTCACCTTTTCGAAGTGCGCCAACGTCCGGATCTCCCAACTGACCATCTCCGCCCCGGGGAACAGTCCCAACACGGACGGAATCCACGTCTCCGGCAGCACCGACGTTAAGATCAGCGACTCCGTCATCAGGACAGGTCCACCCTCCGCCTCCGCTTCCTTGGC